TTGACTTTGACTCCATGCGTTGTTAGCTAAAGCATGATGGTCAGTGAGAACTGACTATACCTCTGAGATTATTCTGGATTATATTCTGGGTCATATTCGTCCACTGTTGCAATAACGATTAACAACTGCAAATATTTGCGTGTGTATTAAAAACTTCCTATATTCCTAAGGTACGTTTAGGGAATGCTGCTGTTGTCGCTGTTGACGCTGTTGACACTGTTGACACTCCAGGTTTTCAGTCAGACATCGATTGAAGAACTGCAGGTAGATCTCCGTTTGTATTTTGTCTCACTGCCAGTGACTGTTACTATAGTGACATACTCACCCTTCCTTCCATAGACATCACATGATCCCTCCCTCTCCAGGTGTTTGGCTTGAGTGTAGTGAACCCCATTGATTGGCCTGCACAGTGGAGCTCTTTGAGTCCCGGCCTGTGAGAAACTCTGGTTGTCGTCTGGTCACAGGTGGGACGAGGACTTGGTTTCATTTAGTGTTGTTGTTGTTGTTGTTCTTGTGCTTAGCAGGATGTAGCCAAACTAAGACTAGCTAACACCTGGTGGTGTTAGCCTAGCTTGTCTTGTCTGGTACTGTTTGGCCTTCTAATGCAGAAAGCCAACATGAGACCAATGTGCTGCTGTCACAGCTTCATGCCGACTCAATGGTCAGGACTGTGGTTATTCAGAATTCCTAGTTTTTATGAGGCAGAGAGTTCCACTGCAACAACTCTGTCAGGGTTAGGATTCAAGCTGCCCAAACGGTAAATGATCATGTTTGACTGGATTTTTATTATTTCTGCTCTGAGTTTCTGGGGTATCTACTCCTCCTGCTCCTCCTGCTCCTCCTGCCCACCAGTCTGTACTGCACTCTCTGGCTGTGTGGTGAGGCGGTGCGACAGGAATCAGAATCACAGACAACACAGAGCAACCCTTCTCTCACACTTATCTCTGTGCTGCCATGACAACGGAGGATGGACCGGGATTTCATGGTAATGCAGTATATTATAAAAGTAAAAAAGACCAGAACCTAAATGTTAAATAAAGTAGAACTTGTCATAAATTAATGAAGAAGACAATTCTGAAATATTTAATCAAATATATCACTTATATTCTAATATAATATATAATATAGTCCGACACCTGAGTTTTTTTAAATTAGATGCAGAAAAAAAATTATTTTATAGGAACTGAATACACACACTCACACAGTCACACACTCACACGCTGACCAACATTGTCTCTCTGGTATCTGCGATTCCAGTGGTTTTCTGTACATTTTCTGTTTTTAGCTGTAACCCTCCCCCCGTCCCCCCATTCTTCCCCCATGTTTTTCTAAGGAGTCTGTACACACAAGTGTATAAATAGGGTTGCTTTCATGCTATGGCTCTTTCCCAGGGGGTCCTGGGGTCTGTTGTGGGTCTGTCCTCACTGTCCCTCAAAGATTTAAAGAACAGAGTTTCTAAACCGTTTAACCTTTTGAATATGTTGTCAAAACTTCTACTTGAGTCTTTTATTTTGATTTTTGACTTTTTCACATGATGGAAGTTGCATGTTCTCAGAGGCATGATCAAAAAAGACTGTCACCTGTTCCTGTGTGTGTGTGTGTCTGTGTGTTCAGAAAGAGTTTGACTAACAGCAGTACGTCCCAGATGTTTTAGAGATAAGGTGGGTTTCACTGGAACGTAACACATTCCCAGGGATGTTTGGGGAAAGAAATTCTTCCTCATCTGTGGAGCATGTTCTGCCCCCCCCGTCCCTCCCCGACTGAGAGTAAGTGTGACCAATTCTGTGGTCTGTTTTCACTTCTCTTTTCCCCATACAGTGTTCTTGTGGTTAAGTATGAGTCTCGAGTTGTAGTTCACACACTTTGATGTCCACAGCTGATCACTGGTGTCATTAATCCACAGTCCACTGTGAAGAACCTTTTCATCCTCCGCCTCCTGTGGTGTCATGGTGGGCTCAATTATTTTAACTGGGCCCAGAGTGATATTTCACACGCTGTGGTTGGCTGTCTGGGAATGTGTGGTTGCTTGATGACAAGTCAACGGCTGTTCATTGATTGGCTATTGCTACAGCTTTGCCCTTGTCTATTTGTGTTAGCAAAGTAAAGTCTGAGCTGCCTCACTTGCACATCACAGGGAAGAAGAGGGCGGGGCATGGGAAAAGACCTAAGACTAGATATCATCAGATACATTCAGTGGTTGTTGGTTTGAAGCTGGTCAAGTTGAGAAAATTCTGCAGCTCCCTCTCGCTCTTTAACCCTCTCTCTCTCTCGCTGTCTCTCTCTTTCCGTCTCTCTCTCTCTCTACAATATATGTATATATATTTAATTAATACTTTTCAGATCCGATCAGTTCTACTTGATGCCATTTGGACTTTAGATGTACTTATTTGATGATACTCACACGTGCCCTCAACACACGGCGCTTCTTCCTGTTCAGGATTGACTCACTGCAGTTGGACTCTGTCAGTGTTTGGTGTCAGAGAATTACAGTGAAGCTGTAGGGAAGTAGTTGTTTGTGTAGTGTGACCAGGTGGGTTAGGGTTAGGGTTAGGGTTGGCAGTCGATTGTTAACTGAATATGAAGTCATGTTAATGTGTTGTCACTTTAACGACAGTCAACTTATTCTTGGTGCTTTCTCCTTTTCAGTCCTCTGTGCCAAAAACCTTGCCAAGAAAGACTTTTTCCGTAAGTAACCGTACTTATATCTGTATTTTTGATAAATGAATAAATCACATGACCAAGTCTTTGCTCAAAACTAATTGAAATTCCTCAGTACAACATGAAATGTGAAAATGATTAAAGACAAATGGAAAAGAAATTGTGTTCTGAAAAGAGAAAATGTGTTTCAGCCACATTTGAATAAACCAACTATTTAAAAAATTGACAATGATCTGAAGTCTGATTGAATGTCATGATTTACCAACAGCAACAAGGACCAGAGGGTTTTGGTGTGTTTGGGTCGGGCTGTCATGGTAAAGGTTCTCTGTTCACTCCGGTGGAGAGCAGCATGAAGCCATGAATTAAAGTGTTGCAGCCCTTTATGTTGTGATGTACAAGCAGGGGTTAGTGTGTGTTAGTGTGTGTGTGTCATCTGTTTACAAATTTACAACTAGAAATGGCAGGGTTCCATCATATGAGTCTGTTTGACTCATTGTTCTTTATCATTGTCTTAAGTGCAGCACCCCCTGTCTTCTTTTATCTGCAGGTCTACCTGATCCTTTTGCCAAGGTGGTGGTAGACGGTTCAGGGCAATGCCACTCTACAGATACTGTGAGGAACACACTTGACCCCAAGTGGAATCAACACTATGATCTGTGAGTTCCACAGGAATGTCATGACTTTTCACACCTGTTCACACTAACCTGTTAACACAAACAATAACTACTGAGACCCATTACAGTCAAGGTTAGTCCCTTATATGTATAATTACTGGATCTGACAGTACCAACATCAGCAGGTAGAGGTCACTGCTTTAATTTGTGACTGATCCAAATGATAGGATTATTTATTAGGACAAATGTCCATAAAAATGTCCAACAGTCAGAGTGAAAATGTATCTTCATAGAGTTGGTGTATTTCAGTCATGACCTCTGCCCTGACCATCTGGACCGGGTCTGGTAGAACATGATTCTTTCTAGACTTCAGTCCAGTGGTTGTCCTCAACAATGTTAATCAGCCTACAGTCCTGGACAGACCATCTGACTGTGGTGTCAGTCAGAGACTGACTGACTGTCCTGATCTCAGTCAGACTGCTCTGACACAAGATGGGCCGCTGACCTGACCACAAGTGTGAAGGATGAACAGGAATGGACTAGTGTTCCCTCCCCCAGCAGCTACAGGTCCTCACCTGGTCCCTTACTTCACTGGTATTGTTCGGGTATTTCTGGAAATATGGTACTGGAAGTCTTTGGTGTTAGAGTGAAAAGAAAAGGTTCTATTACTGTAGAAATAGAACCTTTCAGTCCAGTTCCCTAACAGAACTCTTCAACCAGAGTCCCAGAGTCCTCAAGACCCAGGAGGTCAGAGGTCACCAGTCTGTGGCACCCTTCTTTGAGTCCTGCCGTTCCTCCTTCTTCCGAGAGAAGAAGGAGACAAACTAGGAGACAATGAGACCATTGACACCATAGGAGTTCTCCCAGTAGACCAGGCCTACAGCAGTGTAACCAAGGTATCTACAGGTTTATAATACGTCACGTGTTATGGTGTCATCTAAGCCTCTTTGATGGGTTGGTGGAGTATATGTTTAAAGGAGGAAAAATGTTTGATTTTTGCTGTTGATTCTTGACTCGTTAATCCATCCATCCATCCATTCAATTTCATCCGCTTAACCGTTACCGGGTCGCGGGGGCAGCAGTCTCCATGACCGCCACCCAGATCACACTGCACCGTACCAACCCCCCTGATCCTTCCTGTGGGTGGTGAGTCCACTGGCAGGTACCAACCGCACTAACCGGGATTCGAACTTGCCCGGTAGGTGAACCCTGGGGTTCCACACCTATGACAGAGACATTGCCTCTGGGCGCTTGTTAATATAATTAATATATAATTAATATATGTATTTATAGAATAGCTAGTCAATTATCTCCATCTCAACACATGATTTAATCAAAAATGTTTTGTTTTTTTAATTTTATTTTGCAGGTCCATTGCCCTGACTTTATTTGACTACAAACCGCAGTTTGATTTAATCCTATAATGCATGACCATCACACTGACTGAACCACCACTTAGAACTACCTCCACTTTATATCTGTAACTCCTCTCAACTCTCATTGCACCACTGTAAAATACATCCAATAATGCACTACTCTATAATTATTTACTCATACATATCTTACTTGATCTCAACTGCACTACTGTAAATACTGTAAAGATAATCATGCTGTATACAATAATTATAAATACTTGTACCCACACCTATACCCTGTTACAATCTGACATATACTTATATTTATAGCCCCTCATATTTATAACCAAATAACCTGTATAACCTGTTCATAGTCTGTACATTTACTACATTATAGTCTGTATATCCTTATAGTTATAGCATATTCATAACAATATTCATGTTTATATCTCCCACAACAATGTACATTTGTAATATACTTTTGCTAAAGCACTTCTGGATGGATGCAAACTGCGTTTCGTGTGCAATGACAATAAAGTTGAATTCTATTCTATTTTATTTTGAAGGTCCGTTGCCCTGACTTTATTTGACTACAAGCCACAGTTTGATTTAATCCTACAAGTGCATGACCATCCCACAGCTTCACAGGTCCAACCAACCCAGACAAAGAGCGGCCACTGACGTCACTCTCCTGCGCCGCCTCAGATTGCAAAGTTGAATTTTGATACCTTTAGTTCTATACCAATAGTTTAGATGATTGATTATTATTATTAATTTCATTTTTGAGTGATGAAAAAATAATTTCTGCTAATGCATTTTAATTTGAATTATGGTACCAATTGTCTTCCATAAGAAACAGCTACCATGAGATTTCAGAATAAAATTTGAATCATTTGACAGCTTTACCTTTTAGTTTAATTACATGGTGTTTAATTCAGTAAAATAAAGAGTAGAATGAACACATGTTGAAAGACCTTCATACACAGTACATATTCTTTCATTTCATTTGATTTAACTTTTTTGTACATTTTTCTCTCTCTTTAGATACGTTGGAAAATCTGACTCCATCACCATCAGTGTGTGGAATCACAAGAAGATTCACAAGAAGCAAGGAGCTGGTTTCCTGGGCTGTGTCCGCCTTCTGTCCAACGCCATCAACCGCCTTAAAGACACAGGCTGTGAGTAGTCTCTCTCTCTCTCTCTCTCTCCAACCCCCCTGATCCTTCCTGTGGGTGGTGAGTCCACTGGCAGGTACCAACCGCACTAACCGGGATTCGAACTTGCCCGGTAGGTGAACCCTGGGGTTCCACACCTATGACAGAGACATTGCCTCTGGGCGCTTGTTAATATAATTAATATATAATTAATATATGTATTTATAGAATAGCTAGTCAATTATCTCCATCTCAACACATGATTTAATCAAAAATGTTTTGTTTTTTTAATTTTATTTTGCAGGTCCATTGCCCTGACTTTATTTGACTACAAACCGCAGTTTGATTTAATCCTATAATGCATGACCATCACACTGACTGAACCACCACTTAGAACTACCTCCACTTTATATCTGTAACTCCTCTCAACTCTCATTGCACCACTGTAAAATACATCCAATAATGCACTACTCTATAATTATTTACTCATACATATCTTACTTGATCTCAACTGCACTACTGTAAATACTGTAAAGATAATCATGCTGTATACAATAATTATAAATACTTGTACCCACACCTATACCCTGTTACAATCTGACATATACTTATATTTATAGCCCCTCATATTTATAACCAAATAACCTGTATAACCTGTTCATAGTCTGTACATTTACTACATTATAGTCTGTATATCCTTATAGTTATAGCATATTCATAACAATATTCATGTTTATATCTCCCACAACAATGTACATTTGTAATATACTTTTGCTAAAGCACTTCTGGATGGATGCAAACTGCGTTTCGTGTGCAATGACAATAAAGTTGAATTCTATTCTATTTTATTTTGAAGGTCCGTTGCCCTGACTTTATTTGACTACAAGCCACAGTTTGATTTAATCCTACAAGTGCATGACCATCCCACAGCTTCACAGGTCCAACCAACCCAGACAAAGAGCGGCCACTGACGTCACTCTCCTGCGCCGCCTCAGATTGCAAAGTTGAATTTTGATACCTTTAGTTCTATACCAATAGTTTAGATGATTGATTATTATTATTAATTTCATTTTTGAGTGATGAAAAAATAATTTCTGCTAATGCATTTTAATTTGAATTATGGTACCAATTGTCTTCCATAAGAAACAGCTACCATGAGATTTCAGAATAAAATTTGAATCATTTGACAGCTTTACCTTTTAGTTTAATTACATGGTGTTTAATTCAGTAAAATAAAGAGTAGAATGAACACATGTTGAAAGACCTTCATACACAGTACATATTCTTTCATTTCATTTGATTTAACTTTTTTGTACATTTTTCTCTCTCTTTAGATACGTTGGAAAATCTGACTCCATCACCATCAGTGTGTGGAATCACAAGAAGATTCACAAGAAGCAAGGAGCTGGTTTCCTGGGCTGTGTCCGCCTTCTGTCCAACGCCATCAACCGCCTTAAAGACACAGGCTGTGAGTAGTCTCTCTCTCTCTCTCTCTCTCACCTGATCCTTTTGCCAAGGTGGTGGTAGACGGTTCAGGGCAATGCCACTCTACAGATACTGTGAGGAACACACTTGACCCCAAGTGGAATCAACACTATGATCTGTGAGTTCCACAGGAATGTCATGACTTTTCACACCTGTTCACACTAACCTGTTAACACAAACAATAACTACTGAGACCCATTACAGTCAAGGTTAGTCCCTTATATGTATAATTACTGGATCTGACAGTACCAACATCAGCAGGTAGAGGTCACTGCTTTAATTTGTGACTGATCCAAATGATAGGATTATTTATTAGGACAAATGTCCATAAAAATGTCCAACAGTCAGAGTGAAAATGTATCTTCATAGAGTTGGTGTATTTCAGTCATGACCTCTGCCCTGACCATCTGGACCGGGTCTGGTAGAACATGATTCTTTCTAGACTTCAGTCCAGTGGTTGTCCTCAACAATGTTAATCAGCCTACAGTCCTGGACAGACCATCTGACTGTGGTGTCAGTCAGAGACTGACTGACTGTCCTGATCTCAGTCAGACTGCTCTGACACAAGATGGGCCGCTGACCTGACCACAAGTGTGAAGGATGAACAGGAATGGACTAGTGTTCCCTCCCCCAGCAGCTACAGGTCCTCACCTGGTCCCTTACTTCACTGGTATTGTTCGGGTATTTCTGGAAATATGGTACTGGAAGTCTTTGGTGTTAGAGTGAAAAGAAAAGGTTCTATTACTGTAGAAATAGAACCTTTCAGTCCAGTTCCCTAACAGAACTCTTCAACCAGAGTCCCAGAGTCCTCAAGACCCAGGAGGTCAGAGGTCACCAGTCTGTGGCACCCTTCTTTGAGTCCTGCCGTTCCTCCTTCTTCCGAGAGAAGAAGGAGACAAACTAGGAGACAATGAGACCATTGACACCATAGGAGTTCTCCCAGTAGACCAGGCCTACAGCAGTGTAACCAAGGTATCTACAGGTTTATAATACGTCACGTGTTATGGTGTCATCTAAGCCTCTTTGATGGGTTGGTGGAGTATATGTTTAAAGGAGGAAAAATGTTTGATTTTTGCTGTTGATTCTTGACTCGTTAATCCATCCATCCATCCATTCAATTTCATCCGCTTAACCGTTACCGGGTCGCGGGGGCAGCAGTCTCCATGACCGCCACCCAGATCACACTGCACCGTACCAACCCCCCTGATCCTTCCTGTGGGTGGTGAGTCCACTGGCAGGTACCAACCGCACTAACCGGGATTCGAACTTGCCCGGTAGGTGAACCCTGGGGTTCCACACCTATGACAGAGACATTGCCTCTGGGCGCTTGTTAATATAATTAATATATAATTAATATATGTATTTATAGAATAGCTAGTCAATTATCTCCATCTCAACACATGATTTAATCAAAAATGTTTTGTTTTTTTAATTTTATTTTGCAGGTCCATTGCCCTGACTTTATTTGACTACAAACCGCAGTTTGATTTAATCCTATAATGCATGACCATCACACTGACTGAACCACCACTTAGAACTACCTCCACTTTATATCTGTAACTCCTCTCAACTCTCATTGCACCACTGTAAAATACATCCAATAATGCACTACTCTATAATTATTTACTCATACATATCTTACTTGATCTCAACTGCACTACTGTAAATACTGTAAAGATAATCATGCTGTATACAATAATTATAAATACTTGTACCCACACCTATACCCTGTTACAATCTGACATATACTTATATTTATAGCCCCTCATATTTATAACCAAATAACCTGTATAACCTGTTCATAGTCTGTACATTTACTACATTATAGTCTGTATATCCTTATAGTTATAGCATATTCATAACAATATTCATGTTTATATCTCCCACAACAATGTACATTTGTAATATACTTTTGCTAAAGCACTTCTGGATGGATGCAAACTGCGTTTCGTGTGCAATGACAATAAAGTTGAATTCTATTCTATTTTATTTTGAAGGTCCGTTGCCCTGACTTTATTTGACTACAAGCCACAGTTTGATTTAATCCTACAAGTGCATGACCATCCCACAGCTTCACAGGTCCAACCAACCCAGACAAAGAGCGGCCACTGACGTCACTCTCCTGCGCCGCCTCAGATTGCAAAGTTGAATTTTGATACCTTTAGTTCTATACCAATAGTTTAGATGATTGATTATTATTATTAATTTCATTTTTGAGTGATGAAAAAATAATTTCTGCTAATGCATTTTAATTTGAATTATGGTACCAATTGTCTTCCATAAGAAACAGCTACCATGAGATTTCAGAATAAAATTTGAATCATTTGACAGCTTTACCTTTTAGTTTAATTACATGGTGTTTAATTCAGTAAAATAAAGAGTAGAATGAACACATGTTGAAAGACCTTCATACACAGTACATATTCTTTCATTTCATTTGATTTAACTTTTTTGTACATTTTTCTCTCTCTTTAGATACGTTGGAAAATCTGACTCCATCACCATCAGTGTGTGGAATCACAAGAAGATTCACAAGAAGCAAGGAGCTGGTTTCCTGGGCTGTGTCCGCCTTCTGTCCAACGCCATCAACCGCCTTAAAGACACAGGCTGTGAGTAGTCTCTCTCTCTCTCTCTCTCTCTCCCTCCCTTTCTCTCACCCTGTCTGTCTGTCTCTCTCTCTCTCTCTTTGTCTCGTTGTCTCTCTCTCTCTAGCATGAACTCCTGAAGGCTAGCATGTGGTTGGTTCTGATTCCATGTCCTTTACACACCGTGTGTGTGTGTTTGTGTGATTTTTGGGTGGAGCTTAGTGGTACTGGGCCTTTTCCTGAGCTAAAAGATAAAACACGTAGCAGCTTTTATTGCCCTTTCTGAGGACTCAGAGGGGCTGATAGAGATCGGGGGGTGGGCCGCAGACGGTCAACACTCACCAGAAGAGGAAGAGCCAATATCAGAGAAAATGTCAGAAATGTGTATTTTTTTTCCATACCTGCTCTCTGCACTTGCAGACTGGTTTGCAGACTGCTGAAACAAACTGCTGTTTTTTCTAGAAGTCTGTGATGTTTTTCCTGGAGGCACTCAGAAAACCTAAGCCTTGTGCCACAGCTGTGAGCGGTTTGCCTCCACATTTCCTTTCTGCCCTGGCCTCCACCTCACTGCGTGGTTTGAAGTGTAGCCTCAGTCTCAGTGACTCTGTCTGTGTCTGTTGATGTAGACAGACAGTCTGTTTCACTGTCTGTCTGATTGTTGTGTTTGTCGTCCTGTTGTTTTTTCTTCTTTTTCCTTGTTTGTCTTCAGCAGCAGTAACTCTTTGGTCCTTGGCCAACACATGGTCCTTGGACAACACATGGTCCTTGGACAACACATGACAACTGACACTTATATGTAACTACACCGTGTGACTGTAATGGATACTTTTAGTGCTCTGTGTTTCTTGTCTTTGTATATGTATCCACATATATGTGCATGTACTTCTGTGTATTTTGATATTTTGAATGTGTCCTTTTTTAAAGCGTCTGTCTGTTTTTTTGTGGCTGCTGACCTCTGGCCAGCCTTGTTCCAATGTGACCGTGGTCTGTTTTGGTCCTTGTTTAGTCTAGACAGACATCCTGAACTGATCTGCATGACACCCAGACATCAGAGAGCAGAGGGGGGACAGCAGAGGGGGGCATTTCCCATGTCTGTAGGCAACTCTGCTCTGCCTGCTTATTCTCTCTCTCTCTCTCTCGCTCTCTCTCTCTCTCTCTCTCTGCCCGCCGTCTCTCTCTCTTTCTGCCCCCCGCCCCCCCCCCCCCCCCTTGACAAACTCTCAGACCAAAGACTAGACCTGAACAAGCTGAGCCCCAATGACAGTGACACAGTCAGGGGTCAGATAGTGGGTGAGTGCACTCCCCATCTGGGCTGAAGTCCAAATCAGTTTCATGCTGGTGGGACGGTGCAGCTCTTTTCTTGCTGTTCCTCCAGTAAAGTTCTGTCCAGGATAGAACTGTCTGGTAATTCTCCTCTGTGTGCGTGTGTGTGTGTGTGTGTGTGTGTGTGTGTGACTGTAGTGAGCCTGCAGTCAAGAGACCGGATTGGCACAGGGGGCCCTGTGGTTGACTGCAGTCGTCTGTTTGACAATGATCTTCCAGATGGGTGAGTGAGCTGGGGGAGATAGGTGGGGTAGGGGGCGGGGCAGGGGTCTCCTACCATCTGAAAAAAACAGGACTTCATGTCTGTGTATGATTCTGTCGTCAGGTGGGAGGAGAGGAGGACCGCATCTGGACGGATGCAATACTTGAACCACATCACACGAACCACACAGTGGGAAAGGCCTACCAGGTGAATAGACCTGTCCAAGCAGTTGACCTCACTATCTGACCAAACCTGTAGGGGGCAGTCAGACACAATGTTTCACTCCGTTAGAGGTGTCAGCCTTCATCTTTTCTTCTGCCGCTCCAGTGTTCTCTCTGTGGTCAACGTCCAGCAGCCTGAAGACATGGAACATGATTTATACTGTAGATGAATTAGTTCAAGAAATAAATATGTATAAATAAATAAATAAATATAAATATTTATTAGTGATGCACCGAATATTCAGCCATTGACATATTTTGGCCAAAAATGGCCCAAAAGTACATTTTCAGTTTTCGGCTGAAAGACTTTTATCACCAAATCAGCGTGGCCAAAACAGGAAGTTGTGAATGATGACACAAGCAAAAACAAGCGCGGCTCGTCTGAAAGTACGAACATGTCTGTGGACGTCAATATATCTGAGAGACAGAGATTTGACAAACGTGTAATGATGACATTTCCGGGGGAGGGGGGTGAAAAGTCCACTCCTAGAGTCTGTCAGCACATGTTTGACTCAGATCTACTCTGATCCTTTGAACTTCATCACCACTGGACTTGATCTTGATATTGTTTATTGTTGGAATGTGATAAATAAATATTTTCATCATTTTTAATTGTTTCATTCTTTAAAACATTCATATTAATTTATTCAATAACCTTGATTTTAATGAGGTTTAGTTCACAGTCAGAGTCATCAATGACATGTATATATATATATATATATGTAATGACATATATATATATATACGTATATATATATATGTATATATATGTATATATGTATATTTAGACTGTGCTCCTCCTGTGTTCTCATGGTTGTTCTCATCAGGCCTGCATCAGAGTACTCCAGCCCGGGTCGACCACTCAGCTGCATCGTGGATGAGAACACACCCATCAGTACAAATGGTGCCACGCCCATAACAGCATTCACACCCAGTGATGGCGACCAGCGGGCCCAGGAGCGTCGAGTCCGTTCACAGAGGCATCGCAATTACATGAGCAGAACCCACCTGCACATGCCCCCAGATCTTCCTGAGGGTTATGGTGAGGAGTGGACATCATGAATATTTTTTTGAAAGCAGAAAAACTTGTACTTCATTAGTAAATGTGTCAGAGTTACAATGAGAGAAACTCTAGTGGCAGGTCATGGTAAATTCCTACAGATGACCATCCCTTTGTTTGTCTATTTTTTGACTCAGGTTCAAGTCAAAATGTTCTGTTATCAGAAATAAAAAAAATGGATATTTTCACCGATCTCATTGTTTTTGCACAGAGCAAAGGACTACACAGCAAGGACAGGTGTACTTCCTCCACACACAGACAGGTGTCAGTACGTGGCATGACCCTCGAGTACCCAGGTATGGCCTCCCCTATATTTGTGACATAGTCCGGTGTACTTACATTGGAGTTGATGTATTGTGGCGGATTAGTAGTTAAGGAAGTGGATTTGGGTTCAGAAGGTTTGAGGTTCGAGTCCACAAGCTGCCAAGTTACCACAGAGGTGCTCTGAGCGTGGCACTGTTCCCAAACGCTGCTGTCCGGGTGTTGAAGCTGTTGGCCTGTTTCTGTTGCTGTCAGCACTGTCGTCTGACTATTTTACTGTCTGTCTGTTTTTTGTCAGAGATCTGAGCAACGTCAACTGTGAGGAACTGGGACCCCTCCCCCCAGGATGGGAAATTCGCAATACAGCCACAGGAAGGGTTTATTTCGTTGACCACAACAACCGTACAACGCAGTTCACAGATCCACGTCTCTCTGCCAACCTGCATCTGGTTCTGAAGTAAGTTCTACAGAGAGGGAGGAAGTGAGCGGCGACTACATGTAGATTTATCCTGTGGTTCTGTGTCTGCAGTCCAAGTCCTAATGATTCTGGAGGAGCCACGGAGAGTCAGAATGTCAGGTGAGCCACACACACACACACACTCATGGTTCTGAAGTCCCAGTCAATGGATGAACTCTGTGTGTTAAGAGTTTCTTCTACTCTGCAGCTGTTCAAACATCCAATACAGCAATATGGCTGGAATTACCCACAGGCCTTTGCTACACGCAGGTGGTGCAGCGCAGTGTAGGGGGGGCTTTGGTGGGCCCCTCTGCCTGACCTCATCCCTTCTCCATGCAGGAAGTTAGGTTTCTGCCTGTTCTGAAGGCTCAAAGATTGTGTTTTTTTAATCTCTTAAAAATCCTGAAAAATGTAGCCTAGCACGCCCCATTTTTGAAGTAAGGGCAGGAATTTTCTCAGGATGATCAAGACCAGCTGTGTGAAAACAGAATTCTATGAGGAGAGAAACTGTTCAGAGAAGGAACCAGGTTCCAACTAATATCACATGAAGTTGATGATTTTATAGAAATAATTAAATGCTGAGTCTTTGTTTTTTCACATTTGCAAAGTCAGAAAAAAGGGGTTTTCTCTTTAATGTTGGCTTTAACCAACACCATTCAAATAGACTGGATTTTTGAAACTGACTGCACACAGATGAATCTGTCCACTGAATTTTCATCTGATAAAAGTCTGGAAAAGACATCAGTGGTTGTGTTTCCATCTGCCTTTTATCAAGTCAGGGAATTTTTTTTATCCTTCACCCCATGTATGTTGTCATTCTGCAAAAATGTTAATGCACCTTTAATATATCAGTGTAGTTACATGTCCTGGTCTGTTGTCTGTCTGTGGTGTCTCTAATGTTTGACAGGGCCAAAAAAAGACAACATGTTGATCGTGTTCGGTGGTTGTGATTTACAGCTTGGCGAGTGGAAAACTAACCCCTTTCCATTTTTCTCTGCAGTCGACAAAACCAGTTGAAAGATCAGACCCAGCAGGCTCTGGTGTCCCCCGGTCAATTCCCAGAGGACGCCGAGTGTCTCACTGTCCCCAAGTACAAGAGAGATCTGGTTCAGAAGCTGAAGATCCTCCGTCAGGAGTTATCCCAGCAGCAGCCTCAGGCCGGCCACTGTCGCATCGAGGTGTCCCGTGAGGAGATCTTTGAGGTGATGATGGAGATAATGGAGCTCTGTCCTCAGAAGCCTGGGAGGGTAGGGGGGTTGAAGCTGTCACAGGATGCATGAATTAGTTGGACATGGTTGAACCAACACCATCCTGGTTCTCCCCAACTTCAGCTGTCAGGTGTCCACTTCGCTCAGTCAGAAGCTCCCGTCCTCCTCGCCATAGTCTCTTGTCTCCTCCCACTAAGGTGGCCTCCACCCTAGGTGGGCTGTAAGAATGCTTCCTGTCTCTCACACATTTATCATGACTGAAGTGCATCTTCTGTTAATCTGAAGAAAGACTTTTTTTTGGGGCTGACCTCAACATAGGGGTCAGGGTTCTGTGTGGACGACGCCTTGGTGTTGAACTAGACATAACTGCAGAGCTCGTCCACACTGGAGCATTAAATTATGACTGGACAGGAAAGTGTTAGCTGCTGGACTGTGTCTACTCTTCAGTGTAAATATGTACACACACAATATGTTTGTGTGTGTGTTGCAGGAATCGTACCGACAGGTGATGAAGATGAGGCCTAAAGATCTGTGGAAGAGGCTAATGGTTAAGTTCAGAGGAGAAGAAGGTCTGGACTATGGAGGAGTGGCTCGGTAAGGACCATGTATACATGACTTCTGCCTCCTGGTGGAAGAAGGACATACTACGGCTACATTACTTTCTTCACATTCTGAGCTCAGATATGACTCACCCATCTGACTCTCTCTTGTCTCCCCCGTCATGTTCAGGGAGTGGTTGTATCTGCTGTCTCACGAGATGCTGAACCCGTACTACGGCCTTTTCCAATATTCCCGGGATGACATCTACACTCTACAGATAAACCCAGACTCTGCCGTCAACCCTGTGAGTCACACTTATGACTGAGTCAGGTTTAGTCATCATCATCATCATCTTCGCTCCATGTTTAGAGATCAAATGTAACAATGGATTTCTTTCCAAAAATATATTTGGCCCATATTAACGCAGGCAGTGTTGATCTGTAAAGTGGAAAATCCTGGAACACAAAGAACGACCGTTTGTTTTTGTCGTAGTGGAGGGGCCGGCTCAAATGAAACAGTGTAGTGCTGAACACAAGCTGTCTGCACAAACTGGTCACCTCAGACTGACAGATCTATCTCTGCGTTAGTTTGGACGGCCACTGGTCCATTGGACTGGACTGGACTGGACTGGACTGCTGATGAACATGAACATGGGAGCACGAGTCAATCAGTTTTTGGTTGTGTTGAGATAGTTCTACGTCTGCCTGTTGTTCTGTCTGTCTGTCTGTCTGTCCGTCTGTCTGTCCGTCTGTCTGTCTGTGAATTCAGTGACTAAATATGGAGACAGTCTCTGAAGGACATTTACCTTCTTGTGTTTCATCATGTCCTGTCTTCTTCTTCGTCTTCTTCTTCTTATATTTTTAAAATAACACTTCATTAACAGTTGGTTTAAAACACAGTTCTATAATCAATAACTAATCAACAAATTCATTTAGGAACTCTTCAAATATTAGTTGGTTTCCAGTCACCTGGACAACAGCTCCTCGTGAGCACCCTCTGTTGCTCAAATACTGTCAATGTTGTCTCTGATCCTGTTAAAACTCCAGCCTCAGTCTGGCTTCACACTGTACTTCCACAGGACCCCAACCCCTCCCACTGGTAATCTGTCCTTCAGTGTAGATTGACATTATCACTTCTCCAATTAAAAGTTTAGAAGGTGACATTTTGTTTTTTCTGCCCCCCCTTCTCCTTTATTCTCCTTCTTCTTCGTTTTCTTGATCTTCCTATTCTCCTCCTCCTCCTCCTTCATCTTCTGCTAGACTGAGGCTGGAGTTTTGTTTCCACAGGTGAGATGTTGAGCTGTTGTCCAGGTGACTGGAAACCAACTGAAATTTGAACAGTTCCTCAATGAATTTGTTCATTAGTTCTTGATTATAGAACTGTGTGTTTTAAGCCAGCTGTTAATAAAGTGTTATTTTAAAAATCCAAAAATCTTCTCCTTCTTCTTCTCCTCCTCCTTCTTCTCCTTTTTCTTCTTCTTCTTCTTCTTTATCACTCATCATTTCTTCCTTGTGTTACATGTAATCTCTGTGGATTTTTCTGGTTCTTCAAAAAGTCTTGTTTGTTCTGCTCGTAGGAACATTTGTCCTACTTTCACTTTGTGGGTCGTATCATGGGAATGGCTGTGTTCCACGGCCACTACATCGATGGCGGCTTCACCCTCCCATTCTACAAGCAGCTGCTGGGTAAACCTATCACTCTGGATGACATGGAGTCTGTGGACCCTGACCTGCACAACAGTCTCGTGTGGATTCTGTACGTTCAGGACCTTTTATCACCATTTGTTTGAAACCAAATGAGCTTACTACACTATACTATACTATACTACACTACACTACACTTCATACTAACAGTAAATGAATAGTTTGTTAGTTAGTCAATTTTGTTGTGATTCCAATGTTCCTGACTTCCTCTTCAGAGACAATGACATCACCGGTGTGCTGGACCACACCTTCTGTGTAGAACACAATGCCTATGGAGAGATTATCCAGCATGAGCTCAAGCCCAATGGTAAGAGTATTCCCGTGACCCAGGACACCAAAAAGGAGTACGTCCGGCTCTACGTGAACTGGCGTTTTCTGCGAGGCATTGAAGCTCAGTTCCTGGCTCTGCAGAAAGGCTTCAATGAAGTCATTCCCCAGCACCTTCTAAAAGCCTTTGATGAGAAGGAACTAGAGGTAACACACACATAGACACACACACTGTCCATTTTGTGTCTGGGAGTTAGTTGAAGCTGTGAGAACATTCAAAACATAACCTTATTTTTACTCTCTTTGCAGCTGATTGTGTGCGGTCTCGGTAAAATTGACATCAACGATTGGAAATCCAACACTCGACTCAAACACTGCAGCCCAGACAGCAACATTGTAAAGTGGTTTTGGAAAGCTGTCGAGTCATTTGACGAGGAGCGCAGAGCACGGCTGCTGCAGTTTGTCACCGGCTCTTCAAGAGTTCCTCTTCAAGGCTTCAAGGCCCTTCAAGGTGAGCAGGGTTAGGACTGGACTGTGTGTGTGACTGGACTAGTAAACAGCTTTTTGAAGAGCTTAGCAGTCATTTCTTCTATGCACACAGTATGTGTGGTGCTCTCTCTCTCTCTCTCTCACACACACACACACACACAATCAGTAACATCTGTATAGATCTGTCCATCCATCCATCCATTTTCAACCGCTTATCCGTTACCGGGTCGCGGGGGCAGCAGTCGCCACCCAGATCACATTGCACCGTACCAACCCCCCAAACCTTCCTGCGGGTGGTGAGTCCACTGGAAGGTACCAACCGCCCTAACCGGGATTCGAACTTGCCCAGGAGGTGAACCCTGGGGTTCCACACCAATGACAGAGACATTGCCTCTGGGCCAAAGCGCCACTGTATAGATCTGTGTCTATATGAATGTTTTTCTTCTTGTGTGTATTTGTGTGTATTTGTGTGTATTTGATTTTAATCAGTCTCTGGTTCCTCCGACCGGAGTTGAACCCTGACACTGTGAAGAGTGCAGTGGCAAGTACACTCTGTGACTGTGGAAAGACCATGCACGGCCAGAACACAACAGATGAGAAACGAGGAGCAGCTATGTGACGTTCAGATTAAATATGAACACACCAATGTTTACACTGTGTTTCCTACGACTTCACTTTTCAAAGAATGTATTGTCAATGAAACTGAATAAACAACAAAACTCCTCTTTCTTTCTGCTGTGACAACACCTGTTATTTTTGTTTGTTTTTTCTGGCAGGTGCTGCAGGTCCGCGTCTGTTTACCATCCACCAGATTGATGCCAGTACCAACAACCTGCCCAAGGCCCACACATGGTGAGTCAAAAATGTTGACTTTGTTAGGACACAGTACTTGGATTTAAAACAGATGAAAATGGTCGTGGAGATCATCCGTGTGTGTTTGTAGTTTTAATAGGATCGACATTCCTCCCTACGAGCATTACGACAAACTGTACGACAAGTTGCTCACAGCCATCGAGGAAACCTGCGGCTTTGCTGTGGAGTGACTCATGGATGCAGTGACTTGCGGTGTGAACACTCTCCAACAGATCCACTCTCTGAGATGGTGGGTAGCCCGTCACCACTTCACCCAGAGATGCACACACTTGATAGAGATGAGCGGTCAAAGTAAAGGCGGGGCTGGAAAAGAAAAATTGAAAATATCATGTGACTGTGGTTTTTGTTTTATTTTGGCTGAACCTCATTTATGGATTTTGTATCATTGAAAAGAATAAATTTAGCTGCTAATAACTCTAGTGACTTTCTACTAACTAATGAAACACCTGCCCGTTCTTCCCTTTTGTCTAAGCCCATTTAGCAGTGATCCATTTTACTGACTGTCAGCAGACAGACCAGACTGCTTGGATACGATAGTACAGGGTTAGTAGTTGTCCCCAACACCACTGGTTCCAAACACTAAACTTTGGATGTGATAAGTTCACCTCTGGTTTTTGCTGATGGAAAGGCATTGATGGAGACTGTGTACAATTCTTTTTTAAAGGGGGGGGGGGGGGGGTGCATCTGTATGACACCGTCCCACCCATTTTCCAGATGTCCACCAACAACTGCTAATTCTATTAGTGTTATTTCTGTATGTCAGACAAATGGAAAAGAGTTAGTGTTTGTTATTGGTAAATTCTAGAACCCCTAGATCAACCATGGCGGTTTATAACAGCAGAATTAAGCTTGATCCTGTTTGTTCTCAATTTTATCCCTCCTATTTGCAAAGGAAGGCAAAAAACTAAAATGACCCAAACTAAAAGTCTGCAGTTTCAGAAACACACTTGTGTGAGAGTAATCTTTACAAATATTAAGAGATTTAAGTTGTATTGATCCCACCTTTTGGATTGTTTTGCCAATTTTTTTTAATTCTATTTTTTCTTCTACTGCCTCCATGTTGCCAGAGCAAAATGAATGAAAGACTTTTGGGCATTGTGGTGCTACACAGAAACACATTTAGTCTTATATTTGCAACCATACTCATAGACATCCTACTTGTTGCACAAGACACCGGTCATTCTAGTATTTGTCTCTATTTAGCTCTGTTGGTTCACATGATGGTATTTAGTTCAGAAGTGTTGGTTTATAATCTAAAAAAATATTGTTCCACAGTCCTACAGTGATGTTTATATCTAAAATAAAGAGGTTATTTTCTAAGATGATTAAAAGGAAAACACCTCAGTCCCTATGACCAAGGACTGCTCTAAACAACTGCAAATTCTCTTTTACATGGACAAGTGTATGTCCTCAGATGGCGCTTTGTACAATAACATTGTTCATATGCTGTATGTGGATCAAACAACCTGTAATTTATGTTTAACTTAAGTAGAAAAAATATATATATAAATGAAAAGAGAAATTGCACATGGAGTGGATAAAGTGGTCAAAACAGTGACTACTGTAGTCATCACAGCTTACCTTCACAGCTGCCTCTCACCAAAGACACAAGTTTGTCTTTGAAAGACAAAAGTGAGATGCAGTTTTTTTATTTGATCCCCCAGCTCCCATCTTTTGTTAAATAGCATGATCCACAGGACTATATCTCTCATAGCTGACTGATGCAATTGGCTGTACGTTAACACTCATTTTGTAAGAGTATTTTATTTTTGTGTGTAATTATTTCTAATTAAACTTGCCTTTGTCTAACATTGTTAATGTTCATCCAGATGTTGTTCTTCTGAACATGACATATTTCAGCAGCTCTTCTAAATTTAAAATCTATTCATATGCAAATTATCTTGGTTCTGTTTGCTATCATGGTGGTTGGCCATAAAAGTCTAGAGGTTTCCACAGAATTCAACTTTACAATGAAATTACCCCAGAAAACTCATAACAGATTAAGCAACACCCAATTATCTTTTGATTCCCCAAAAATGTGCATATGGGGTTGGGGGGGGGGGGGGGACCCATTTATTTTAGTTTTGCAGTTTTCTGCATGTTCAACAGGAGATCGTTTACTAATAGAATATATTTACTGGGAACAACGTGAAGTATTTTAGTTGGTCTAAAAACTCAAGAATTCTTACAGGGAATATAAAGTGAAACTTTATAAGGAGAAACCATAGATATACTATACATACATTTGGTTAAACAAGGGACGATTATGTTATTATTAGTATTATTGTACAAAATGGATTCTGTATTCTGTACAACAGTGGGGAATGCTTTATCGACGCACACGAAGGATTATTAATTAATTGAGAACGAGCGAAGGTGAAATTTGAACTCAAGATTTAACAGCTACAATGTTGGATTTATTACGATGGAATTTTAGGTCAATTTTGAGGATAAACAAAAAATTGAGAACAAAGCCGGAAGTGTACAACAATAAAGTCGTAACGTTATGACAAAAATATGTTAATTTATGTCCTCGATCTTATAAATGAAGTGTTTAGAAAGAGAAAAGCACAATGGTAACCATACGTGCGTCAGAATGAGAATCGTGGAGAATTTCACGAAAAGATAGACATATCGTCTTTTGCCTCATTGCGACACGATCTCAAATCTTCTGGTTGGTTTATCGGCTTTTGCGTTTTAATAATACCACGATATTATCTCAAATGTATGACTATATTCTTCTAAATTTATGACTTTGTCCTCGTAAACTTACACGACTTTTCTCGTAATGTTACGACTTAAATCGTGTAATTTCACAAAACATAACCCGGAAAAAACACTAGAAGTTGACGTGTAGTTGTTATTAAAGACGGAGGTGTTGTTATCTGTTTATATGTGACACGGTTTGTAAGAGTAAGCGATTAAGTAAGTAATTAAATTAAAAGTGATCTTCTGTTGCGTGATAAAGTGGAGAGAGCAACGTAGACAATCTTATGTTTAGGGTTTGTCCCTGTGACGTCATTTTCCGTAAAGCTCAGTCCCGTCAGGAACCGAATCACTAGTTTTTGTGTCTGTACTCATCCGCCAACATCTGAACGTTATAGCTCTGTAACGTATCCATGACTACTTCAAAGGAAAGAAAGTAATCGAAGAAATAAAATGAAAGCAGTTCGGTGCAGGAACTTAACTTTATATTAAATGACAATATAGGAATTAAAGCCTGAATACATAATAACTAAATAACTTAAACATAATTCCTTTTAGACTTCATGCGAATGCTTTTCCGGGTTTACGTTAGTGTCATTTGCCGTGTTTAGCCTTTTGTGACTGATATTATATAAAAAGTGGTAAATATAGATTAGTGTAGATACAACACGAACCGTGTTTGTCTGTTTTGGTTTTGGTTTTAAAATTAAGCGCTAAGCTATATGGCGGATGGATACACCTTAGACGGACTTCCGTTTGTTATATATAGTGGACCTCATTTTCTCAGTACCGGCATTTCAGAGACGCTGTTTGTCTGATTGTAGTAGGTGACGGCGAGTTTATATTCATTTTTAATTTATTTAACCTATCCACACAATGCCTGGGTATTCCGACAGAGACCGCGGCAGGGATAGAGACAGAGACCGTGGGTAAGTACGTTGTTCTATCCCGACTACGACCGTCGTATGATGCATGTAAATGGCCGACTTTACAGAGATGCCACAAAAACGACACAGATAAGCTAGATTTTTGTGTTTTGTCAAACGTGATACGGTACATATGACGTTTTTGTTATAATTCGAGAAAAAAAGAAAAATAATTCTGGTGCACTTTTTCTTTCCCAGTTTTCTTTGGCTCGCGGCCTTGTCTGGCCTCGTGCCCCGGAACCGCAGCACCGACCTAGCATTAGCATCTTTTTAGCTTACACGATGTAGCATTTAATCGACAAAGTGACCCGCTAAATGTGAACTGTATGCACTTGCGCTAGTGACGCCAAGTTGGGTTAACTTCCTTTGTGCTAGTTTAAAAAAAATCAATTTAGTCTACGCGGCTCTGATAGAATCACCACGTTGTTTTCTCGCCATGTGGCAAAATTCATGCGGCTACATAATGCAGACGATCGTCCCTTTTGTTCTCATGGATAAGAAACTAAATAGCGTCTAGGGTGACATTACAGATTTGTGTCTGACATGACACGGGTCTAATTTGTTTTTTTGGTCCAGTAGATATAAGTGTTGTCTGACATTCAAATAACAACTGAATTATTTGTAGTTATGGTGGTGGTCCTCCACGCTTTGGAGGCTCCCGTGGTGGCGGAGGAGGTGGCGGCGGAAAGTTTGGCAATCCTGGTGAGCGCTTACGGAAAAAACACTGGAACCTGGACGAGCTACCCAAGTTTGAAAAGAATTTCTATCAGCAGCACCCCGATGTTGCCCGCAGGTCACCGGTATGTAGTCAACGTGGTTGTTATGCAACACCGTTACAATGTGCTTTCAGCTGCACGTGGAAGTTACACCATCAGGTGTGGTTTATGTAAAATAAGCTTAATTTCCTTTCTTCTTATAGCAAGAGGTCGAGCAGTACCGGATGGTCAGAACAATTACGTTCAAAGGAAGAGAGTGCCCTAATCCAATCACACAATTCCAAGAGGCTGCATTTCCTTGTAGGTTTCTAATACTTCACGTATTCATCATGATAAATGTTTGGTACATTGTCTGTTTATGATTAACTTTTTTTTCATGAACTCTCTAGCTTATGTGATGGAAGTCATAGACAAACAAAACTGGACTGAACCAACACCCATCCAGGCTCAGGGATGGCCTCTGGCTCTTAGTGGCAAGGATATGGTCGGCATTGCTCAGACTGGCTCTGGCAAAACACTTTCTGTAAGTTTCTACAAATATCACATGCACTGTGCCCATAAGCGTGATGCTAAACAAATGTCAGTCACTAAAAGTCATTAAATATTTTTTGCTAAAATGAAGGCCTTAAATGGCATTAAATTCATTCCCAAATACTTAATGAAATATTACAATATTACTTAAACTTTATATTTGTAAATTGAATTACTTGTCACTGTTACACATCACACCACTACACACAACCAAATGTGACCTCTGCACTTTACCCATCACTAAAGTGTGTGGGGAAGGTACACTCAGTGCACCTCAGTGGTAACTTGGCAGCTGGTGGATTCAAACCAGAAACTTTCCAGGCCCATGTTTGTGTCCTTAACCACTGAGCGACCACTTCCCAATTAATGAATTTGGCTTGGTCTATGTAAATTGTTGTGGGGATGTTAAATACCACTTTTTTTCCAGAGCACAGAGCGCTCTCTTAAGTACTTGCCAATAAGATGTATATAAAATACACACACTTACTTGCTATATTGCTATAAGATGCAACACTGTTAATTCACAATATAGAGTTTGTGTTCTTTTTTTATTTTATGGTCTGTATTGTCAGAGGGATACAACGAACTGAGTCTCTGCTTTTAACCCATCACCAAGGGGAGCAGTGGGCAACTTTTTAAGTGCCCAGGGATAAAGGAACTAAAGTGCAAAATGCACACAAACTGTAAACTATCTTGTCGTTTTCACATTGGCACTTAATATGGTATTCACTGTGTGGCAACACTAATTCCATTCCCTGTTTATTTTCACCCTACAAAGTAACGTGCACTTGTTAATGGATGTGAATTGACTAATCCACTTAGATGGGATGGATCCAGGGATACAGATGGGATTTCAGAACATGATGTGACATGGCTCTTACTCTGGCCCTTAGTGCTAAAATCAGTGTGATGGATCAATATTCCCATATACAAACATGTTGTGTGATCAGTGTGAACTTAACAAGATGGTTGAGTGCATGCTGATCACATGACATGTTTGTCAATTTAGATATTGTTCAAAATTAATAAGTCACGTTTTCAATATTGACAAAGACAGGTATTGGTGGCTGGCATTGGCAGCCTTTAACGAGTACTGATTCTTTGAAATAAGGCTGGTATCATGTCTGATACCAATACCTGATATCAGTGCTCAGCCAACAGTTGGATGTGTGTGTATGTGTATATAGGTAAGTATACATGTGTAAAGTATTTGCAGTTGGTCTTAGGTACTTTATTATTAAATAACATAGCATTATTAAATAGCATTACATTAGATTTGCTGGTCCCTTCAATAATGTGGTTCTGTTTTGCAGTATCTGCTTCCAGCAATTGTACACATCAACCACCAGCCTTTCCTGGAACGGGGAGATGGTCCTATTGTAAGTCATTTACTCTCCTGTTGGAGGAATATGTTTATATTGCTTTTTTTCTAACACTTGTTTGGATAAATATTAACTCTATAAAACAAAATACTCTCTTGTCAGTGTCTGGTCCTAGCTCCAACTCGTGAACTGGCTCAGCAGGTCCAACAGGTGGCTGCAGAATATGGTAGAGCTTCTCGCCTCAAGTCCACCTGTATCTATGGTGGAGCCCCTAAAGGACCACAGATCCGTGACCTGGAAAGAGGTAGTTCATGTACTATAATTTCCCAGCCTGGGATCAATACAGTATATCTTTCTGTCTAATAATTAACAGTACCAATGTCTAGACTTTGAACACACTGTTAGTTGTTCTAACAACTTTTTGACTTTACAGGTGTGGAGATTTGCATAGCTACTCCAGGTCGTCTCATTGACTTTCTTGAAGCAGGAAAGACAAATCTTCGTCGTTGTACATATCTTGTGCTGGATGAGGCAGACAGGATGTTGGACATGGGATTTGAGCCACAGATCCGCAAGATTGTTGACCAGATCAGAGTGAGTATATTATTCTACTATCGTCTAATGCACGACATATTCTTGAATGAAAAGCTTATCTTATGTGTGTGTGTATATATATATATATATATATATTTTTTTTTTTTTTTCTTTTTCTTTTAGCCTGACCGTCAGACACTGATGTGGAGTGCCACCTGGCCTAAAGAAGTCAGACAGCTGGCAGAAGACTTCCTGAAGGATTATGTCCAGATCAATGTTGGAGCGCTGCAGCTCAGTGCCAACCACAACATCCTACAGATAGTGGATGTGTGCAATGATGGAGAGAAGGAAAACAAGTAAGTGACAAGTAAATAAACTTGCCATTAGTTTATTACAGATTTTTTTTTTTTAACCAACACACTCTACTTTTAGATTGATTCGTCTGCTCGAGGAAATAATGAGTGAAAAAGAGAACAAGACCATCATTTTTGTAGAGACCAAGAGAAAGTGTGATGACCTCACAAGGAGGATGAGAAGGGATGGGTGAGTTGCAATGAAGCTTGATTGCACAGCAAAAATGTCCTGTGAATTAACAATAAAACATCATTTGTCAGTTGGCCAGCGATGGGAATTCATGGAGATAAAAGCCAACAGGAAAGAGACTGGGTTCTCAATGGTAAGAACATATGCCCTGAAGTGATATCGCTCCTGCAAGATCACTGGTATGTGTATCTAAAATACATGTTTGTTACTCCCCCCACCCCCCACCCCACCCCCAGAGTTCAAGTATGGAAAAGCTCCCATTCTGATTGCTACAGATGTTGCCTCCAGGGGTCTCGGTCAGTATCCCGCCTGAAATGTTAAACATGTTGATGCATTTCAAACAAAGAAAGTGTATTTGCTTTCTTTAACTTCTCTGCTTCTTTCTGAGTCTCTCCCCTGACCTGAAGGAGCGGTCTAAGTGGCAGGGCCTTGGCATGACAAGCCCAGGTCTCCAGAGGGGGAAGGAGCATTCTTGGGGGTGTCCTGACTGGCGAGGCATGGATCTCCCAGTCATGCAGATAAACAGAGGTGACCAGGCCCAAGTGCAGCATTACATGCAGGCCTGCCTAAAAGTGGGGGCCACAACCCCCCCCCCCCATACATATATTTGGACTGCTTCACACATCCAGGCTCTGTAGCTGTCCCAGCTCAAAGCTTAGCTTCACTGTCTCCTATTGTATTGCATGTCCATTTGGGTCCAGCACTGAGGTTATTTGCATACTGTTGTGTGGACATGTTGTAAAGCATGGGTGGCAAGCAGTTTCCTAGGCTTCAGTTGGACGAGCGCTCTGTCAGTTCGATCATACATCACCTCTGTAATGTCATGGCTACTGGCGCTTTAGGTGACAGTGGAACATGCTAGTTGGACACTCGGACAAAATCCAAGCTCAGACTCCTCCCTCGCCTGCGTTTCAAAGTCATGTCGAGACCTGCCAACGAGAGACAATGAGCAAGTGAGCACTGGGTCTGGAGAAATCTTGGAGAGGGTGTAATCTCCAGACATCTTTATAGAAGTTCAGAGCTACTGTAACACTTCAATGTGAACCTAAAGAGGCTTCACCAGAGTGAGCCCCACAGAGACCGCTAGTAGTTGGGCAGCAGTGGGGCTAGAGCCACTGCTTTAGAAACAGCAATGGTTTAGTTTGTGGGGCATGTGCTGCAATGAGAACGGAAGAGTGAATGCATACTGTAATAAAAGAAAAAAAAATTCAGATTTTGGATCTATTTTTTTTTTTTGGTGGTATAGGTGAAGGGGGTTGTGCATCATTTCTTTCTTCCCACTGTAGTATCCCCAGAATCTGATGTGTTTGTTAGCCTAGCCTAGCATTAGCAGGAGCAGCAGCCTGTGACTAAACTAACTTGGCCTTTTTGTTTTTGATCTGGTTGTTGTGGTGCTTGTGGTACACATCTTTTGTGTGCTGCCCTCTTCCCCTGTGCTACATCGCAACACAATCTTACAGATGTTGAAGACGTGAAATTTGTCATCAACTTTGACTACCCCAACAACTCTGAGGATTATATCCATCGTATTGGCCGAACAGCTCGCAGTCAAAAGACGGGCACCGCCTATACCTTCTTCACACCAAACAACATGAGACAGGCCCGCGACCTCATCTCTGTTCTGCGTGAGGCCAACCAGGCCATTAACCCTAAGCTCCTCCAGATGGCTGAAGACAGAGGAGGTAAATCCAATTGGTGAGATACAGAAACTGTGCTGTAAATGCAGTCTCTTCACATGCTGCTTCCCCCCCCCCTACATTTTGTAAACCAACAGTTTTTCTACTTCATCACTAACTTGTATTGTTAGAGTAAACCTGTTCGTCCATTGTCGTCATATATATTTTTATATATATTTACAGGTCGTTCAAGGGGAGGCCGAGGTGGTGATTACAGAGACGACCGCCGGGACAGGTATTCCTCTGGAAGACGTGATTTCAATAGTTTTAGGGACAGGGATAATAGTAGGGGGTTTGACAATGGACCAAACAAATCTTACGTCACCAACGCGCAGAACGGAGGCTATGGGAGTAACAACACCAGCAGCAACGGCTATAATGGAGCTAGCTATAATGCTAATGGACAGTCCAGTTACACTAACGGTCAGGCAGGGGGCTTCGCAGGTCAAAACAACTTCCAGGCCCAGCAGTTTGCCCCTGCTAAGACTGGTACACAGAACGGTGCCACTCATCCCCCGTTCCCCTTCCCTCAGACACAGGCTCCTCCCCTGCTGGTGCCGTACTCCATGCCTCCTCAGTTCACTCAGTAAATTTACCACATACTTGAAAGAAGTAATTTATTGCTTTTTGTCCTGTTAAGGTCTATAGATGACACAGAAGTTTTTGTATCTACAGTGCAGGGTGACACTTGAGGACCTCTGTTCAGTCTTTAATGGTCTGCAGTGCAGTAGAGTTGCAGCTTTTTCTGTCTATTTAATTTGTTACATTCCTTTAGTTAATGTTTTTTTTTTTTGTACTAGTTGATAACAGACATATTGTTTTTTTTTTTTTCACGTGTATCATGAACAGTGATAAACAGCTTGTACCCTGGAAGTGCACTGCATGATCTTTCAAATAAAACAACAAAAAAGACCTGTGTACTGTATTTGAAAGTTGGACACAGCAAGAATTAATGGCTTCATCATGCAGTATCATATTTGATCCGCAGGTGGCATAGTTTGTCGTTACATTAGATTCTTTAGTGAAAGCCAGGTAACCAGCAGGTTAATGTTCTAAGTAGTGTCTCAGTGAAGCAGGAAATGGAAGTCTTTGTTGCCACAACAACAAAGCTAGCAAAAATGAAGTGCGGGTAAAAGAACTTCGTCTTGGTTTCCTGAGGGAACTGGTTCCAGTGCAAAAAATGTATGGGTTAAAATGTGTAACAGTTATAAATATATGGTTCCACTTGTCATACAGAATGGTTTAATAAACACCACGTTAAAGTCTTAACCTATTGTACAGTCATTAAATGCAACACCCCTGCAAAGTGGTGAACCCCCAGGTGCACCAGTGGGCACTGCTGTCATCATTATTTATATTTATATATAGATTATTTTGACACAGTTCTGTAATGTTCTGTTTGAATATTAGGAGGTATTTATTACTTACTGTGTTAGGAAATTCCAGCTAAGATTTATCTGAGAGCCAGATGCAGTCATTAAAAGAGTCACATCTGGCTCGTGAGCCACAGGTTCCTGATCTAAAAGCGTTTCTAATGTCTCGGCCTTTGAGCTGCCATGTCTGTAGTTTGAGCTTAACACGTGTGAGGTGGATGAACGGAGGAAAAATGTCCCCACCTTCTGGTTGAGAACCAAATAACCCCTTAGCTTGTGTAGTACACAGATGGTCTTTTTAACCGAGTGATGTTGCTCAACTTCAGGACAGTAATTAAACATAATTTAATTACTGTGTTTGTGAACCTGAATAAACACGTTTATTACATTAAGATCTTTGATGATTTACACACTTTTTGTTTCTACATAGAAAACATTAACAAAAACTGCTGTTCTAAAGCTATGGTTCTGCTGCTCTTGTGGGTGTGGCTTATCTGAGCTTTGCTCATTGACCTGGAAATATGTGTGGAATGTTTCCTGTGTAAATATTCCAGAAAGGAGCCATTCTTCTGTCATAAAAATTCAACACCACCAACTACACAATAGACACGGTGACTAAAACAGCTCTCTAGGTTTATAGTAAATGCAAATAAATCTATTAAATAAATAAATCCACTAGTACTGGTCAAATGGTACATGCAGGCACCTGGAACCACTAGTTTTTTCATCAGAAATCGTTGTTAATGTCAAACTAAAGTTTAAAGTGACAGTGAGGATATCACAGGTAGAAAACTGCTTATCTCAAATGACTTGCACAATCTGGAGGTTAAACATGCAGCTCAGGCTCTTGGTTCTTGAACCAAATCCCTGCAGGCACCGGGTGGCAGGAAGGTTAAAGGTGTTAGAAAACAAACAAACTTGACCATAGTTAGAAGCAGGAAACCCTGCATGTTTTTCTGTCACTATTCCTTGTCTCTAAAGCTGATAGATGATGATCACACTTTAGCTATTAGTGTGAAATTGATGTACAAGTATGTTAATACACTGATTGCATCACATTTATTCCATACAGTTTCCTGTATCAGCGAAAGCTCCATGTGGGGTCTGGCTGGTGGTCAGTGTAGAAGTACGCACTGTTTTCAGCTCTAGGTTTATTAACATCAGTGATTTCTAATCATGCTACTGCACATGTACAAATCCTTCCATGTCAAAGGTCAAGGCCTGCTGATGCTGAATGACTGCCGTTAGTCAACACTTTTCTCCTGTCATGTCACTCACTCTGAGCTGTAGCTACATGTGTCTTTTGTCCCATGCAGGTGATCCCGCCCTCTGCCTGCAGGTATGTGGGTGTGGGTTTGATGAGGAACTGCTCTGGGTGTGTGTCAGTCACACCCACCGCAAGCATGAGACAGAGCAGCATGCTCATCCATTCTCTTCTTGCTCAGGTGCAGTAAAAACAAGACATTGTTCCGCTACCGACGTGGAGGTGCGTGCACACACTCACACACTCGCCCACTCCACATCCATCTGACCTGGAAGAGTGTGCTTTGTGTTTTGTCTTGACACATACTCCCACTCACCGCCACATGTCCTTCTATTCCTGTGGTTACAGGTGAAGTTTTTTTTCCTCACACCTTGTGGACCTTCACTCCCATGATACCACACCAAAGGTCGTTCCATGGGGCGTGCCACTGATATGGAGTGATTTGTCATCAAACATTGTGACAACAGTAACTAAGATGGCTGTGAAAACTCCAGTTACTATGTTTGTCCTAGTGAAGAACTACTATTTCTGACACAGGTCACCACTGACTCACCTGTGATGTAGCTTGATTTAACAACATTAGCCTCTAGTCAGGAATGATGAGGGTTCAGTTCTATTGGCTCTTGATATTCTTGCACCAAAACTGGTTCCGCTGCATTCTTTTGTCATCTGGACTGAACAGACAGTCAACTCTTTATGGTTTGCTGTAATGTTATTGTGCAGCACAAAGTTGGCAGCGTGTCCCATTTACACACAGTTTATAGAAGCAGGTTGGTGTGGAAGCTTCAACTCTTCAGAGGTCACAGAAGGTAACAGAAGTCCATGTGAAACTAACGACATCGGCTAACGACGGTTTCTACAAAACCCTTTTCTGGAGAGTACAGCTGCACAATCTGAAGTTAGAGAAAAAGACCTGCGAGGTGACAGCAGGGTGGAACAGGTCCACCCGGTATCTCTGTCTGACGACACACCTGCTGCACTGGGAGGAGCTGATACAGGTGGACGCTCCTTCACTTAACTGAGGGTAAAGACACTGTAGGGGAGGAGAAGGAGGAGAGGACAGGAGAGAGGACTTGGAAGAAAAACACTTAGACTCCTGCTACACAGACGGGCCTGAACGCTGTCCCACCACCACCACCACCATGTCCAAGAACAAGGAGTACAGTCCTGTGAAGATCAGCAAGTGAGTTCCTGTCTGTATGGGTGTGTGTGCATGTCTGTGTCAGGTTTCTTGTCTTGTGTTACCTTCTCCTGTCTTCTCTGTGGTATGTATCCTCACACAAACTAAAATATGGATCACCGTCCCATGAATGCAGCAAAGACGCCAGGTCTGATGTGGAAGTTCAAATGTTTAGTATGTAAATGCCTGTCATTTATTTTCCTTGCAACACCTCCTGGACGATTCTGGGAAATTAAGGAATGTTCCTTTCCATTCTAAGCTTTTCTCTGATATAGACCCACATGATCATGTGGTTGACTAGGTCTCCAGGTCAAATCTCCTGACTTTGTGGCTGAACCACATTTGTTTCATTTGTCTCTTTGCACATGGGGCGTATAATCAAATAGTAATCCCCGGTTGTGACTCATTATTGGCTGATAGGTCATGAGTACAATCATCACGGTTATCTTGCAGTCAGAGTAATTCTGACATTGAGGCTGTCAATTATTCCATGAAGATACACGTGGCCATGAAGGTCTTCACCGCTTCATCTGTAAAGACCCCCCTTCCCCCTCCCCCACTGTTACAAGGAAGGTCCACAGGACCCAACATTAAACCTGAAGATAACAACAGAGAGAGGAAAGAAGGGAGGAGGGTAGGGAGCAGGGAGTGTCAGGGCAGTTACAGTATATACATCTGTTTACCTTGATTAGCATAGTTAGCATAGAGAAAGAGAGGGAGAGAGTGTACCTGATGATTCTGTTCTTGTACTATTGTTGAGGAGTCACTTGTCCTTATGTCCCCACTGAGTGACTAATTATCATTGGAGTTAGAGTTAGACTAAGGATTAGGGCTTATTAGTTATATATTTGTAATAGTCAAGGTTAGAGTTAGGGTTAGAGAATGTATAATGTCTATATGCAGAGCTCACAAGTGTGTGTGTATGTATGTGTGTGTGTGTGTGTGTGTGTTTTTAGATAAACAGTTAATATTACAGTTTGCCCTAATATGTAAATGTGTATTTTAGGGAAGACCACAAAAAAAGAAAATATATAAAATAATTTCACAGATGCTTGAACAACATTTCCATTCTTCCAACAGGCTGGGATTATTAAACCAGGATAAGTAGATTTGACTTTAGTTATTAACTTTTGTCTATTAAACAGAGGGACTGGAGCTCACACCTACTCTACATCTCATCCAGTTAAAACAGTTCAAATACTCAAAATGTGACTTTGTGTGACACAATATTTTTTATAGTTTGTGACTGAAGTGTTTTGAAGCATCTTGTTATAAAATATGAACGTTGGTTCTATTTGTTCTTATTATTCTTATCCCTTTTGGTACATTTTTATATTAAAAACATTTTTATTCATTATGTCAATTTAATTTTGTTGTGTGAAAGAGGAAGAAGTTTTGTGTATTTTTGTCCAAATCCTAAAATCGTAGATAATAATCTATCTGTGAATAGTCAGTACAACAGTATTAGTACAACAGTATCAGTTCAACAGTATTACTAGAGTATTCCACTTCCTGTGGTTTATTGTCACCTCAGAAACGACTCCCAGCTTGGGGACCAACCTAACTAACTAACCTAACTTAACCATGGCTCCACTGATTGTCCAGAATTAATACGGTTTTGTTGTGATTACTTGTGGATCAAGTCGTACACAGCTTTTACTCTCACATTTAGAAAATGTTTGAAACCTTTTTGTTTTTGTTTCCACATTTTCTGTAAATAATATTTTGATAAATATAACATAAATACATTCACTCCAATTAAATCATAATTTAAAACATTAGAACACCTGTTTTTCTATGATCACTTTATTAAAATCACATTTACCATCATCTGAAAACAGAACCTCAATCCTCAGACGTGTCTTCTTTGGTATGCACAGTCAAGTCCAAATTAGAATCTGAGTAACAGATGAAATTTAACCAAGTCAGGACGATGACTCCAGAGAGTCCAAGTCCAAGGATTTAAACTTTTTGGATTTCCCAGAATTTGGAAGTTTGAGTCACTGATATAAGAGTTCGATTGATATTTGACACTGAAGTAAAGATGTCTTCTCTACCGTGACAGTCGTCCTCAGCATGAAGTATTAACAGCACCGGAGTTGACTGACCTGAGTCAAATTTAGAGCTAAAACAAATCAGTGTTAAAAATTCAAAGGGTAAATGAACTCTGAGAAGAAGTTCCTTCTGCTGGTTCACCCCAAAAAAATAGGAACTGAGGGGCCCCAGTTCCAGAAAGAAGAGTAAAATACGTCACAATGTCCTTTTGTGTCAGTCACTGTTGGCGCTGCAGTGAAGTGGTGACGTGTTCCTACTCCACCTACTACAAGGTCAGACATAATGTCTGACTTATGTCTTGATAAGAGCCAGATTCCTATGAGCAGGAATATCTCCATCCACACTGACGGCATTCTTCATGCTTGAAGGGAAGTGAACACACCCCCAGCGAAAATGTCTCTTCATCTGGGTGTGTCACAGTAAATAGTTGGCTTCATTCTGAGTTTACAGTGTCTGACAGAACAAACAGGTCATTGATGGGTGACACGTTAGATTGACTGGTCATTGACTTCAATGTCCAGCCTGCTTCTCCTCTCCACCTCCTGAAGCCACAGAGATTATGTTTTAATGTCCACTGAAAAATGTTCAGTCCTGTTTAATCTCATGCAATATTTAAAAAAAAATAATTTTCACGTGCAATTCCATTTGAACTTTTATGTGTAATATTTAATTTTTTTCATGTGAAGTATTTCAATGGTTCCATGTGAAATATTACAGAAAACTTAAAACAACTGCACAGGATCTTGTCCTTTGTTTTCTGTACTATTTAAATATTTTTCTTTTCTAAATGGGATTCTGAATCTTATCTGCATTTGAAAAATTATAAGACTATTTATTATACTTATTTCTGTATTCAGGACCCAGGCCCAGGATCTGGCTGTGCTAATCGCCAGGATGCAAAAGAATGCAGACCAGGTGGAGAAGAACATCCTGAGGGCAGAAGAACTGCTGGCGTTGGTGAGATCTTTACAACATTACAGCTGTTGTTTATATATAATATATACCTATATTATATATATATAATACATATATTATATTATATAAGCATATATATATATATATATATATATATATATATATATATATATACATATACACACCATGATATTATTTTATCTTTAATTACTTACTTTTGTAGGTAATTAACTGTTTTACTGTTTTGGGTGTCAAGTTTATCTGTGTGAAATAGGGTTCGATATTACAAATAATTGCAGTATTAGGCGCTACAGTTAATTTATTGTAACATTTTCTTAAAACCGTATATGCCAGCGCTATTGTTAAGCGTAACTCAAAACAAACGAAAACAAAGTTACAGAAAAGGGGCGTGACCATGAGGGGAAACAAATGCAATAAAGCAGCCATGTGATTGTCGTCATGGATGACAACTGGGCAGCATTTACCCCATGCCATGATAAAATGTTTCATCACCTGCGGGACAACCTCCCAACTTTGTCCGCCAAAGTAAAGGCAAATATACAGTAACTGGATTAAATCATGTTTAATATAAGTAACATAAACATACATTTGCTATGTTTATGTAACGTAACATTAAATTAGTAGGGCCTTGGTCATGTTAGTGTGTCATTTAAATTAGTTGTGGAGGAGTTTGACACGTGTTCGGCTTTACACGGTGGTCACTTACTTTATACTGTTTGTATGTAAACACAGCGTCAGGTCGAATGCTTTTTTTGTTGTTGTCGTCGGACAGTTTCAGTGTCAGTGAACTGTAGAAGAAAACTCTATGTAGTCTGTTCTCAGTCCTCAGTTAGTGAACAGTTAGCATTAGCTGTTCTATTTTCTATACCTGCTGTATATAGTAGTGTATAATAGCTTAGTTACTGCACATTACCTTTACAATTCAAAGTAAATGTGCTTAATAATATACATTACTGACTCTCCAGCTTGGCAGGCTGCATATGTTGTTTTGAGTGAAAATTGGTCCGAAAGTAGTAGGACAGTATGGTCGTTAGGTGGTGTTGATGCACACCAGCCCACGTAAGTAAAGTATAAGTTTAAATCTATGTCCACCCATTAGGTCTAAGGAAACAAGTGGTTGCCAAATTTGGGAGGGGGTGTTTTAGGGTTAGTGTTAGGTCAAATTATTTCAGTTTTGATGTTTTATTAATGTTGACACAACAAGTTCTTTGAACAAACGTGTTTTTTTGTAGCAGTAGTAATAGTTGTTTAGTTGCAACAGCTGTGAATGTGTCAGTGTGGTTGGAGCTCTACAATAGTCCTAGCTTCAAAAGGGGAAAACACTGGGGAAATGAGACTAAAATGACATTTCCATCAAAGACTGTGAGGTTCAGGTTCTTCAACATCCTGACTCTAATCTGTAGGACACAGAGCGTGAAAAGAAGAACCTGGATCTGAACCACCAAAAAACCAATGCAGAGAACCTGACGGAGGCCGAGAGTCTGCTGAAGGACCTCTTCATGGACGTGGACAAATCCAAGAGGATGCAGCACCCCCAGTCTGATGAGATAGAGAGAGAGTAAGAGTGTACTTTCTTTTTTCCTTACATTTACCCAAACAAATGTTCATGCCAGCAGAATCCACACCTCAGACTCCTCCCTCTGTCATATTCATCTGGACTGTGTCTCCGCATTCATCTTTACTTTGTTTGAACCTTTCAACACAAGGCCTTTTTTCTGCTCTCCCTGATTTCAGTGTTAAAAATCTCCATGATCGCTGGGCCAAGGACTGCGCCACCTACAGGGACCTGTATGATCAGGTGCAAGATCTAGAGCTGTTGCCTAAGATTGGCTGGACTTCTCTGCTGGATGACAAACTGGTGATGATGCAACACCAGCTACACTAACAGCATTAACATTCGTAAAGAAGAATTATATTATTATATTTATTTTTACAACAATGTCACTTTGTCACTGTGGTGTGTCCTCATATATTTTAAATGCCCAAACAACGTGAGAAAAATAATTAGTGACTTGAAAATTGTTGTAATCTGATTTTGTTCACATTCCAATTCGTTTTCCAGTGGTATAAATGGCAGCTCTGTATCCTTTGACTTACATTACTGCCACACTGGTACTATGGTACCAAGTCTACCTCATCTCTACCAAAACAGAGGCAGAGAGCAGAAACCAACTTCAGACATTTTAATACAAGGACTAAGTAATTATTATATGTGATCTTTGTTTTTTTTTGTAGTACATATTTCCACATGCTTTGCATTAAAGGTGGTTACATTTTTATATTATTACTAAATATGTGAAAAACAAAAACCTTTACCCAGTATGAAAATTTTAATTAATTTTTAATTAAAGTGTCAAACATGTTGAGAGCAGTAAACTAAAATGTACAACCCTGTTCTGTGTTCAACAGAAACAGCTGAGCACAGAGTCGTACGGTCTCAAACTTTCTGATGTAGAAAAGCAGATCGCGGCCCATAACATTCTGCACCAGGAGATTGAAGCGTACAGTGATCAGCTGCAGCCCAGCACCACCACCTCCAAGGTGATGGCACAAAACCCTCAATACAATCACGCACAAACATTCGGCACGTCTCCCATGTTCATGCTTTTAATCCTTGCTTCCATAGCAACAGTACACTGCTATCAAAGACAAGTATGGCCAACTTCTGGTGAGTGGTCACATCTTCAGTCTGTTAGTCGGGCATCTGACATACTGAGACAGCATGAAAAAGTTTTTTTTTTCTGTTGTTCAGGAAAAATCCCAGCAAAGACGAAACCACCTGACCTCCCTGTACGACTACATGCAGAGCTGCAGTAAGGAGCTGCTCTACCTGTCGGGTCAGCAGGAGAGGATCCTACAGAGAAACTGGAGCGATCGAATGGTGGACCCTCCAGGAGTTCGCATGGAGTACGAGGTGAAGTGACTGCGACACCATAACTGGTGGATTTTGGGGATTTTCAGCAGTTTAAGCACAATGTCACACAATTGGACCAGTTAGAGACACATGTTTATACAATTGTATTATATATTTTTGAGAATTTTCATGAAATGAAATATTCATTTACAGAAATTCAAAAGCAACGGGCTGTTGGCACATGAGAGTGAGATTAACCAGCTACAGGATGAAGGTGATCGTCTGGTGGACATGAAACATCCTGGCACTTTGACCATTAAGGTAAACTCAAGCTGTCAGAGAAGTCTGACCTGAGCATCCATCCTCCAAGTTCTTAAATCTGTTCCTCCTCAGGCTCACAGAGACTCAGTGCAAAGTGAGTGGCAGGCTTTTCTTAACCTGTGTCTGGCACAGGAGTCACACCTGGACAACATCGAAGATTACAAGAAGGTAAAGGACTGGCAACAGCGCAACCCCATGAGTGACTCTTAATAGTTTTCACTTCATATCTGTCTACTTCAGTTCCAGTTGGATGCAGAGACATTGTCCGAGTCCCTGGAGAGACTCAGTGCCAATCTGGACCCAAAGTCCATGTCTAACAAGAGCAACCATGAGATTCTGTTTGCCCTGGAGGTAAAATAAGTTGATAAATGATTGGTTTAGAGCAGCAGGACTGATGGAACAGTTGAAAAAGTTCTTCCTACATTGTTCAATGCATGATTCCACTTTCAACTGTTGGATGAAACTTATTCTCAGAGTTAGCGCTACGCAATGCAGATTTGTGTGTGTCTTAGAAAAGTGACCAGATCAGTTCTGCAAGTTCTGCAACAGCCAAGTTCTTCTGCACCTCTGTTGACACACAGTGTTTGTTTAAAGTCAGGGAGACTTCTCTTATGAGAGTTCAGTCAGTTATTTATTGCAAAACTATTTTACGGTAAAACAAAATCATGAGTGTAGAAAAACAAAGAACAATGACTATTTATGAGACATTTGTGTGATGATCATGTCTGATGGACAAAATCACTAATATGCAGCTAATCATCACTTAAAGCTAAATAAAATACATGCATTTAATTAATGGAAGACCAGAGCAGAAAAGAAATGTTACAGCAGGCGTTTGTCATTCACCATCAGAGAAGGAGGTGTTTGAAATGGTCACCTCACAGAGAAAGTTTCCTTTAAAGAAATGTTTCAAGTATTTCACCTGGAAAATCAAGCATCATGAGAATGATTAACCAAAATTTAGGTAAAAATTGTTAACATTTTAAAATCTAATATCAGTGACTAGTGTGGCAATGGGAAAGGTGTAACACTAAACAACCATTCACAGGGATTAAACTCTGAGCTGTTTACCTGCTCCACATGGTGGAGGTAGAAGAGGAGGAGCTCTTTTACATGTCCTTGAAAAAGCTGATTATTCATTTACATGACTTTTATCTTTGCGGTGGCCATGCGGTGGCCAGGGTGGGGGTGGGAGGGTGGCCAAGACTGTTTCACAGGTGTCCAGTGCTCTCCCCTGCCTCCCCTCTAGCGCTGCCCCTTTTGTAAGTCGTCACCTGGAGAGGAATGAATTCAAATCTTTTCCATGAGCAGCAGCAACTGCATTCATTTAAGAATCCTTGTGTTCACTGGCCTCAGGCTGACAGTTGTGCTAATGTAGCAATGAAACAAATACCTTTAGATTAAGCTATTTTTGTTTCTTTACATCTTCAGGGAGACGAACCAGCGGTGAAGAGGAATGAGCAGCGCCTGGCTTTTCTCAGGGAAAACAGCAACAACATTGTTCCTCTGAAGTTGAGACGCCTGAAACCCACCAAACCCATCACTGTGGTTTCTCTGTGTGACTGGGTTGATGATGGGGTAAGAAAACCAGGACCATAACCTCAGGGAAGGGTTACTGTTGTTGATGAGATTTTCATTTCATTATTTTCTTGCTTTATTGAAGGACGTGGTGAAACGTGGTGAAAAGCTCACCATGAAGTCTAACTTTGATAACAATGACTGGGAGGTTCAGACTAGCACAGGGAAAATCAAAACTCTTCCAGGAGTGTGTTTCATGATCCCGCCCCCGGACGCTGAAGCCCTGGAGAGAGTGAACAGGTATACGTCACAAACTTAGGTGATGTATTCCTTCTGCTGATTACTAAAAGGTTCAAAGTAGACACAGATTTTTATGGAACCTGGTGTTTGTTTGTGTGATCAGTCTGGATGCAGAGTTGACCAACCTAAAGAACCGTAGAAGTGATTTAATGTCCTCCTTGAAGAATCCAAATTTGGAGGTAGACAGTCCTCAGAGGGCAGGTGAGCCTGAGCTAAGGCCTCTGTGTGAAAATATAATTCCTTGTTATAATTGTTATTATTTGGTGTTTACATAATTTTTTTTCTTCTTTTCAGTTGTTGTACAAGGTTCTCCTGAGGATCCCAGAGCTGAAAAGTTGGCCTCTGATCTAGACAGCATTAATACATCTCTGGAAAGGATTGAAAAGGATATCCTGAATCGGGTGAGGGCACCGCTGGACATCCGCAGCCCCACACAGGACCTATCCAACAGGCTGCAAGAGCAGGAGGTGAAGAAGAAAAAACGAGAAGAAAAAACGATGCAAGAAATAGTTTCTTACTGTTCAGAGCCTGACATTTCAAAGTTGTTGTGGTTTTTTTCATTTCATCTCCAGAAATCTGCTCTGAGTGTGAGAAAGTTAGAGTCAGAAAAGGCCAGAGTTCAGAGAGAGATGGAACCAATTCTCACAAAAAAACCTCTGGGACCAAGCGCTTCCACTCTGCCACAAAAACTCTGCACTGCCAACAACAAGTTTGATGAGATCAACTCCCTTATTGCACTTTATGATAAGAAGTAAGAGTTACTGAAAAAACGCAACGTCTAATATACTATCCCAGTGAAGTTTAAGATTAGGATTATTTTGGTATAAACTCTGTCATTTCACTAGAGCTACAGCTTCTGTGTTCTTGGAAAAGCAAATACAGAATGTGGAAGGTTTTGTCTCTCGGTGTGAAGACCAACTAGCCAAGGATGGAACCATTTTAGATCAACCTAATGTTCTCCAGAACCGCATCCAGCAGATGCAGGTGAAAACAAAAATAATAAAGCTCACAGATATGATAGAGTGGGAGTATGTTTGAGGCAAAAAAGATCTGAACTTTCTACGTACTGTCAATCAGGCAATTCGTGAAGACATGGCCTCAAAGAAAGTTGAACTGAACAAGTTGGGTAAAGACCTGGACCTGACCGAACAGGCCTGCAGAACACTGCAGCAGAGTTTCAAGGAATACTGTCCTGACATCCGGCGACAGGAGACTCAGGTGAAACATCTGAAGAATCGTTACTCCAACATCAACAACCAACTCCAGGAAAGGTTGGGAGGTTTAAAGGTTCCATTCAGATTAGATTATGCTGTAACTGTTACTGATGATCTTACTTTCAT